ATCTCAATTTAATAATCTAATCCTCTATCTTAAGAAACTAGAAAATGAAAAGCAAACTAAAGCAATCAGAAAGAAAATAATATAAATTAGAGTGGCAATAAATTAAGTAGAGGATATAAAAAGTAGAAAAATCAAAACCACTTTTGATTCTTGAAAATATCAGACTACACGCCTGTAGTCCCAACTACTCAGGAAGACTGAGGCAGGGGAATCGCTTAAACCTAGGAGGTGGAGATTGCAGTGAGCTGAGATCGCGCTGGTGACAGAGTGAGACTGTCTCAAAAATAAATAAATAAACAAATAGGATTATAAGAACACTATCAACAAGTGTATGCCAAGAAATTAGATAACCTAGATGAAATGGAGAAACTTCTAAAAAGACACAAACTACCTGTGATGGTTAATACTGTCAATTTGATTGGCTTGAGGGATACAAAGTATTAATCCTGGGTGTGTCTCTGTGGGTATTGCCAAAAGAGATTAACATTTGATTCAGCAGGCTGGGGAAGGCAGATCCACCCTTAATCTGGTGGGCACAATCTAATTAGTTTCCAGTGAAGATAAAGTGGGCAGAAGGTGAAAAAGCAGAGATGGACCTAGCCGCTGAGCCTACATCTTTCTTCCATGGTGGATGATTCCTGCTCCCGAACATCGGACTCTGAGTTCTTTAGTTTTGGGACTTGGACTGGCTCTCCTTGCTCTTCAGCTTGCAGATAGCCTATTGTGGGAGCTGGTGATCCTGTAAGTTAATACTTAGTACTCTCCCCTTTTCAGTTCTGTCCTTCTAAGAGAACCCTGACTAATACAGATTTTCGTACCAGAAGTGGTTCTAGAGGAACAGAATATTAAGGATGGAGTTCTTTTGTTGGTTTTGGGGTTTCTGGAGTTGGCTGCTTAATATGATTAGACCCCAAAATGCTAAGGACTCTACTTCTAATAGTATGGAGAACATTGATAGTCCTTCGTATGAACTCTTTAGACAGTCACACAAAATAAATGCATTTGACACTCCTGATTCACTGCTCATGAGAGGCTGCTCATGAGAGGCAAGGAGTTTAGTGACTCTACACATAATACCTTAGACCATATGTGGACAACCAAGGAACATAATGAAATTGGTTGTTTGCTCCTAAGTTCAGCAAAGTGATGAAAGAAAATGATAAGCTCAGGGATTCCGTCTCCTGGCTTCAGAAGCAGATACTGAGCCTCAAATCTGCTAAGATTGCCCTGAGTGAGTCTTATCTCCTGTAGAGAAAGAGCTGAAGTTGTGGGAAACCAGACACAAACTCTTATCATGCGAGTGGCTGACTTGCAACAGAAAGGTTTATGCACAACCTTGGGAGGTGTCTACTGTTACAGTGAGGTATTGATTGAAAAAGAATGAGACCCTGCAACTTGGAATGGGGAAGTGTGGGAGGACCCTGATGAAGCTGGGGACATTGAATTTGTAAACTTCTGATGAACCTTTTTCGCCAGAAGGAATAGTTTCTCCATCCCCAGTAGAGGCAACATCCCCCCACCCTGACCCATGCTGCCATATCAGCCTTTCCACCTTTGTCTGAGGAGATAAACCCTGCGCTGCCTGAGGCAATAGTGATGGCCTCCCCTGAGGCAGTTGCAGGCAAAATAATGTTGATTCTTCTCAGGAGCCACCCCCACCACTCCTGTTTGCTTCTAGACCTATAACTAAACTAAAGTCCCAGCGAGCCCCTACAGGTGAGGCTGAGAATGTGACCCATTAGTAGGTGCTCTACACTCAAGAACTGCTTGAGTTCTCTAATTTATATAAACAGCAATCTGGAGAACAGACATGGGATGGATATCAAGTGTATGGGATAATGGTGGCAGGAACATAGAGTTGGATCAGGCTGAATTTATTGATGTGGGCCCACTAAGTAGGGACTCTGCATTTAATGTTGTAGCTTGGGGAGTTAAAAAAGGTTTTTATAGTTTGTTTGTTTAGCTGAAATATGGATTAAAAGTTGGCCCACCGTGAGTGAGCTGCAAATGCCTGATCTCCTTTGGTTTAATGTAGAGGAAGGGATCCAAAAGCTTAGGGAGATTGGGAGATTGGGATGGTGGAGTGGATTAGTCACTTTAGACCTACGCCTCCCAGCTGGGAGGGTCCAGAAGATATACCCTTGACAAATGTCTTGTGAAATAGATTTGTGAGGACAGTATCTGCATCTCTGAAGAGCCCTGTAATTGCTCTTCTCTATATGTTAGATCTAATGGTGGGAACTGCAGCCACTCAACTACAAAATTTAAATCCAATGGGAATAATTGGATCCTGAGGTGGCAGGGGCCAAGTGGCAGCCCTCAACCATCAAAGGCAAAGTGGGCGTAGTAACCATAATGGACAGCAGAGGCAAAGCGGCAATCAGAATAGTCTGACTCGTGTAGAGCTCTGGCATTGGCTAATTAATCAGTGTTCCTAGAAATGAAATTGATAGGAAGCCTACTGCAATTTGAATTATAAAAACAGAGAATCATGGCCCCGCAATCAGTTTCCAGACTTGAGCCAGTTTACAGACCCAGAACCCCTTGAATGAAGGGGAGGCCAGGTTCTCTTGAGGAAGGACCCCACTCTATTACCGACAATTTATGCAGTGAATCTTTCTCTCATCCTTCTGCAAGGAGACCTCTGGCTTTTACTGGGGTAACTGAGCACTGGGGAAAGAGAAATAATCAGACATTTTGGGGACTACTGGACACTGACTCTGAGCTGACATTGATAATAGGGAACCCAAAATGTCATTATGGTCCTACAGTTAAAGTAGGGGCATATGGAGGTCAGAAAATTAATGGAGTTTTAGCTCAGGTCCAACTTACAGTAGGTCCAGTGGGTTCCTGGACTCATCCTGTGGTCATTTCCCCAATGCCAGAATGCATAATTGGCATAGACATACTGAGCAACTGGCAGAACCCCCACACTGGTCCCTGACTGGGTGAGGACTATTATGGTGAGAAAGGCCAAATGGAAGCCATTAGAGCTGGCTCTACCTAAAAAATGAGTAAATCAAAAACGATATTGAATCCCTGGAGAGATTGCAGAGATTATTGTGCCACCATCAAGGACTTGAAAGATGCAGGGATGGTGATTCCCATCACATCCCCATCCAACTTTCCCATTTGGCCTGTGCAGAAGACAGATGGATCTTGGAGAATGACAGTGTATTATCATAAGCTTAACCAAGTGGTGACTCCAATTGCAGTTGCTGTACCAGATGTGGTTTCATTGCTTGAGCAAGTTAACACATCTCCTGGTACCTGGTATACAGCCATTGATTTGGCAAATGCCTTTTTCTCCATTCCTGTCCATAAGGCCCATCAGAAAGAATTTGCCTTCAGTTGGCAAGGCCAGCAATATACCTTTACTATCCTACCTCAAGGGTATATTAACTCTCCTTAACTCTCCGGCTTTGTGTCATAATCTTATTTGGAGAGACCTTAATCACTTTTTGCTTCTGCAAGATATCACACTGGTCCATTACACTGATGACATTATGCTGATTGGATCCAGTGAGCAAGAAGTAGAAAGCACACTGGACTTATTGGTGAGACATTTGTGTGCCAGAGGATGGGAAATAAATCCAACTAAAATTCAGGGAACGTCTACCTCAGTAAAATTTCTAGGGGTCCAGCGGTGTGGGGCCTGTTGAGATATTCCTTCTAAGGTAAAGGATAAGTTGCTGCATTTGGCCCCTCCTACAACCAAGAAAGAAGCACAACGCCTAGTGGGCCTATTTGGATTTTGGAGGCAACACATTCCTCATTTGGGTATCTTACTCCAGCTCATTTATCAAGTGACCTGAAAGGCTGCCAGTTTTGAGTGGGATCCAGAACAGAAGGCTCTGCAACAGGTCCACGCTGCTGTGCAAGCTGCTCTGCCACTTGGGCCATATGACCCAGCAGATCCAATGGTGCTTGAGGTGACAGTGGCAGATAGGGATGCTGTCTGGAGCCTTTGGCAGGCTCCCATAGGTGAATCATAGCAGAGGCCTCCAGGATTTTAGGGCAAGGCGTGAGCCACCGCGCCCAGCCTACAGCAGACTTTCTGTAAGAGGTAACTAATATTAGTGTAAACTAAGACCATATTTCTCGGTAGCCATGTAATACTGTTCGTTCTTACTCAACTGTTATTCGGTATTGATCACAGTTCAGGTGCACAAAACAGAATCCATTCTGGTTAGTTTAGCAGAAAAACATTTAAATTTTACTGACAACAGAAATAATTTTTATAGCCCAACCCAGTACACAAAAATGGTGGCTATGTCCCAGTGAGTTGATTTCATGACTCACTAATGAACTGTGACCCACAGATGGACAATTACATTGCAGGGTATTAAATGGCTTGGAGAATCACCAGAAAAGAATAGTCTTGCCTGTGCTTCCACAAACTGGGTGGCCAAGCGAACTGATAGTTCCAGAAGCACTCCATGTGTATAACCCACATCCTCAAAATGATGCCTGGTGTCTCAGAATCTGATGGACAAAACCTAAGTGACACCAAAAAACCCTGACACAAAGGAATTTGAAAAACATAGTAAAGAAAGGAAAGCACACTAGCAGAAACTTCCAAAAGATGTCAATCAAGTTAAGCCACAGAATCAGTTCCGTATCTGCAATGAAGTGCTGCTTATGTGAGACAGAAAAACCTGGTGGCCGAAGTATGTATTATTTCATTTTATCTTATCCCTGTAAATGGCATATTTTCTTGATTACAGCCTATTGCTACTTCACTTAGGGAAACTCATAGCTACAACTAGTACAACTTGCCTGATGAGATGAAATTCAGGGGAACAAAACAAAGGTAACAAATCCCCAAGTTACATGTCTTTCACAAACATACCTCTACCCAGTCAATAGAGGATTTATCAAAAGAAAGATTAATAGTGGAAAAATAAACTGAGGATTCTCTTCTCACCCTCATCACAAGGAATCTTAAGATTAAAAAGAAGTTTTTAAACTAGTGAAGAGAAGGAAGAACAAGGAATACCTTTAATCTCTCCTTTTCATTTCATTTTCTTTTAGTTCAGCTTATGCAAGATTTTGTACCTTGTGTAAGAATTTAAGTTTACTGAATACAAAATATTGCTTAAGATTTAAAGGAATTAAAGCAAAATAAGTTGCTGAAGGGGGATCATTTGAGTTAAATACAGGTTTGTTTTTTTTTTTAATCTGTAATTGATGTACATTTGATTTTAAGAAGACACTTTACATCAGGTCACCACAAAGCAGATTTACATACAACCATCAATTGCAGAAAAACAAAGTTTCTTTTTGATCCAAACACAAAAAGCTTTGTGTTTTATTTTTTTATGATCTCTTCCTTGACCATAAAAAAAAAAATAAAGTAAAAAATGCAGTACTTTTCGAAGGTGAAGCTAGTAAGTTTACAGAAGTGCAAAACACCAAAACACTTTAAGCAAAAACTTTTTTTTTTAAGAAAAAGGTATGACTTCTCGTTTTCTGTTCTTGGCATAAATTTTAATTCTTTCCAGTGGAACCAAAACCGCCTGAACCCCTTTCGGTGTCATCCAAAGCCTGAAAGATAGACAGACAGAAAGGTGGGAAGCTTCACAGTTTTTTTAGAGTCTCTTTCAGTTTTTCTCTCCAGCTCCTAAGAAAAATATAGCCAGAATTCTACTCTTGCTATATCATCTTTTCAAAAGGGAGATTACAGGAAGAAGAAAATTAAATTCCAAAAAGCTCCATAAATTAGAATATTGGATAATTTTTAAAAATTCTAATAAAATATTAGAAGTTCACAGTATGTTTAAATAACTTATGTAAAGTAAATACTACATAATAGCTACATAAAAAACATTTTAAGAAATTCTTAAAACTAGTATTTTAAATTTGCTTAAAATAAGTTTAGTCATATATACTATTTAGTTACAAACAGTATATTAAATCCTCAAGATTATACATATTTCTTCACTTAAGATGTTGTATTACTTATTCTCTATCATACTTTATAATACTTACTTGAACTTCTTCTATTTCTGGATACAAAATCCGTTCGCAAATGAGCTGTGCAATTCGATCACCCTTTTTGACTTCAAAGAAAGAATAGTTTATTATTGATATTACTGACATTCTCCACATCCTCTCTTATTCAATGAGAATTAAAGGAGTCAATATTATTTACACATACATGACTCCAAAAATTCACTAGAATTATGTGAATGTATATATTTAACATACCTTCAAACTTTTCTTTGCCAAAATTAAACAGTACAACACCAACATTTCCTCTATAATCTTCATCTATGACACCAGCTAGAAAAAAGAAAAATAGTATCATCTCAATTTTTGCTATCTGAATACTAGAGGTGTAAGATCTCAAAATCATTGTTATGTAGCTCTGAGATTTGTATTCTTACAATTGAATAAGTGAATCTTGCCCTGGTACTATGTAAAGCCTCAAAACCAAGAAATGATATTACTAAAATACAAATAAAAATTTAGAAAACACATCCTAATTTTCCAACCTGTCACTCTTTATCAAATGGCAACCATTTCCTCTTTTAAGCTGGGAGTAGCAATGACTATCTCCAACCTACTGTCTACCCACCGCACACTTGCCAAAAAGACTAGGAGAAAATTACAGTTTGGGTTTTAAAGGCTTTTCCTGGTATCAGCTTCCCACTAATACCCAGATTGAAATACTATTGAGTCATAAACAAAAATGTAAAAAAGCCTAAAGCTCTGCAGCGGAATAAGTCAACGCTGACATTGTTAAGCAGCAGTCTCGCAAATCTTAGAACATTCCATTTGTACACTAAAAATGTACCTGAACTTTTCAGTTCATAATCTTCCTCTCCTTTTAATTTGAACCACCATCCTTTCTTAGAGCATGATTTCTCAGAAGACAGTAGCACATAGGCTTCATGAGTACAACTTTATATGTGTAATTAGTACTTCTTTGAGATTATGAACATAGTGGGCGAAGATCTTTGCAGGGGAGACTTGAGCCAGGTCCCTGCCATAGCCCAGAGAGTTATACTTACCAGACTTGCTAGCATTCATCTTTGAGCCAATAATTTAAAATATTTCCATAAACACAAGCACAGATAATACAGGTGCATCAGGCCTTTTCGTTTTTTTATATTGATAAATAATTCACAAAGCATACAATTTATCCATTTAAAGTGTTACAGTTCCACAGTTTATAATGTATCAGAGTTGGCCAACTATCGTCACAGTCAATTATAGCACATTTTCATTACCCTCCCTCCGAAAATCCCCTACCTTATTAGCTGTCACTTCCCTTCCTCCTTCCACTCCCAATTTCCTGCTATACATGTAATTCTTTCCCCTCAGTTTGTGAAAGGCTTGATAGGACTCACGTGAATCTAACTGAATACAGCTCCATGTCATATCTTACTTGTTATTAATATTCTACCCCCAACAAAAACGCTGATGAAGGAAAAAATATGGAACTAAAAATAATCATGTGTTCAGCTCAATGGGCAGTAATGCTATTTGCCCATACTCCTCATTATTTGAAAGCTGAGAAAACAAAAAAAAAAAAACCCAAAACATACCCACCCCCCATTTTTTTAGAACAAAGGTAATTCCAAAGCATATCCTTTCAATTTTCTCATATAAGGGGGGAAAAAAGCAAACGCTTAGGTTCACCATATTCAGCAAAAACAACATTTTAGATTTTCCGAATGGATTACAACATATATTTAAATGAACCCCTGTGCTTTATGAATGAATTACTAGGGACAAGTGAATCTGAATTTAAGCACTTCTTAAAAGGTTCCTGATGCAATACTTTTACGAGAAGAGTGAGTATAAAACTGGGCAGAAAAGCAGCAAAGGCAGTTCATCTCCTGTCTGGTCTGAAGGAAACAATCAATTATTGAACTTGACCAATTCAAATTACCAAACCCTGCTTTATTTCTCCACTGTCAGTTGACCGTTAATTTAGACCTTAATATTTATGAAAAAAATTGATATAAAGATGAAACCAGCTGTTTTCCACATTACCTATATGGAAAAAATTTTGACTGCAGGGACAATTTAAATTAGATTTAATGAAGAAATCCCTCAACATAGTATGTTGTTCCATGTTAGAAAAAATGGCCACAGTAGGCTAGACAACTTCCATGCTGGGAGATTTTGAGGTACAGGCTAGTAATTCATCTATCTTGAATGAGTTAGAGAAAGACAATATGGACTGACCCACTTCTGAACTATTCTGTTTCTACTTTATTTGAAAATTTTTAAATAACCAAAACAATGCAAATACATATAAAGTAAAAGCTTATAATATTCTCTGACCCTCCCTGATATAGCTAATGTTACAGAAATATATCTTACATACTACTTTTTTTCTATTTATCCTTTGAGATTAATAAATGTAAATGTTAGCCATTCTTTTTAGATACAAGATATGGAAATATGGTATCTCTTTTTCTCTTTCTTTTTTTGGCAGGGTCTCACTCTATAGCCCAGGCAGGAGTATAGTGGTATGATCACAACTCACTACAGCCTCAACCTCAAGTGATTCTCCCACCTCAGCCTCTAGGTGCGCAGGCACCACCACACCTGGCTAATTTTTGTATTTCTTGTAGAAAGAAAGTATCCCTATATTGCTCAAATGAGCCTCAAACTCCTGGATTCAAGCAATCTGTCTGTCTCAGCCTCCCAAAGTGCTGGGATTACAGGCATGAGCCACGATGCCCAACCTGTACCATATGTTTCTATGTAACTATTCTCTTACATAATATCAGACACAGGCTGCTTTTACATTTTGCTATAAAAAATAAAGAAGCCCTTTAAATATATCCTTGTACATTAATACTTTTTATTTTCATCAAATAGGTTGCAAAAAAAGGTGTAGCCATTCAAACTTCCATCAGCAATATTTGAGAATGCCCATTTCCAAAATGCTTGCCAATATCTGATGGCAACAATCTCTTACATTCTGGCCAATATGATGAGTACAAAATGGTTATCTCATTGCCTTACTTTTCATTCCCTGATGACTAGTGAGGCTGGACTTTTTTCCTCCCATTTGTTGGACATTTGCATGTCCTCGTCTATATTTTGTTCATGTTTTTTTTTCTCATTTGTTCTTTTTCATATAAATTGTAAACATTTGCTTGTTGGCTTTATAGTATCTTCTAACATACAAAAACATTCTCTTTTTGTAAAGGCCTCTGCTGTATCTGTAAAGTAGTCCTATCAGAACTACTCAAATGTCTTGAATTCTAGAGACAGGTGATCTTTATACTTGGGCCAAGAAAATGTGAAAAACCTGTAACTGACTACAAGAAATTAAGTAGTTTGAAGTCAATTCAAACGTATGGCAGAAAAAAAGGCCCTCAATATTTTTTCTAACATGAATGCTGATGGTATAAAACTTCCAGTAGTTCCAAATTCATTTATCACCCAATTGCCATTCGACATTCAAGAAAAGCCTTCTCTGCCTACAGGATATAAGTATCAGGGACATTTCTCCTCAGAGAAAGCAGAAAGTATCTTGAAGTTATCACTGGAAAAATCAAGCATTGGAACTGGCAGAGTGATTAACTGACTTCAGGCAAAAGTTTTACTGTGTCAAGAGTTTGGCATGTCATTTGTTGGAAACCTTTTTTTAGTGAAAAACTATCCACACCTACCAGATGTGAATTCTTAACAGAATCCTGAATGCTCAACTTTTCCCTTTGACCCTTATTTACAGCCTGGGATTTCTAACAACATTTCTTTTCAGAAATAAAAACTGTTGCCAACTATGATAAACTTGTGCCTAAGGGAGACTGCTAAGGTTCTCTGCATCCAAGAACACACCACAGTGTAATTTCATGAATAATACCATACCAACCACCAGGCAAACTAACTTTCCATTCTTTTACATGAATTTTTTTCCAGAAAGTTGTTTTAAACAGAGCAAAAATTAGTAACAAAGTCGAAAAAAAGAAAAAGTTTCCACATAAAAACAATCTGTGAAGCCCCTAAGGCCAGAAATTATATCTCACAGAATCTAATATGTGCCAAGCACTGTATTAGGTATTTCATACATATTATCATTTAATCCTCCCACCTCTCAGAGGCAGGCACACTAATTTCCATTGAAAGATGAGGAAACAGGTTCAGAAAGGTTAATACCTAGTTAGTGACAGAGCTGGGACCTAAATCCAGTTGTTATTCCAAAGCTCCTGTTCCTTGCACAATCATTTGAAACTTCGTTGAAAATATATACAATCATTTATATCCTTAAGTTACAGTCCCAAATGACCATAGTTGACCTTGTAAACGGTCAACTTACAGAGCATAACTTACAGAGCCCAAGGAATCTTCAACCCGAGAGTGGGCTGTCAATGTCCATCCCTGCTATGTAAAACTTAGCTCCCCTTTAGTCCCTAAGAACTGGGTACTTTTGGGGTCCTGTCTTGGCCAACAGCACCACCTAGTGACACTATGGAGAGATACCACGCCCACCAAATGTCAGACTAAGGATAGCCAGGTTTCATTAAGTGCTTAGTTAGCCCTTGCAGTGGCACATAAAAGTGAGCTAATTCAGGACGTGTTTAGTTGGTGAGGGGGATGCAGCAGGGTAATCTTCACACTTAATTGCAGTGGAAAGAACGAGGGGGTTGGAATCACACAGAGACTCCAGTTTTTTTTGTTTTTTGTTTTTTTTTTGAGACGGAGTCTTGCTCTGTCTCCCAGGCTGGAGTGCAGTGGCCAGATCTCAGCTCACTGCAAGCTCCGCCTCCCGGGTCCACGCCATTCTCCTGCCTCAGCCTCCCGAGTAGCTGGGACTACAGGCCCCCGCCCCCTCGCCCGGCTAGTTTTTTTTTTTTTGTATTTTTTAGTAGAGACGGGGTTTCACCGTGTTAGCCAGGATGGTCTGGATTTCCTGACCTCGTGATCCACCCGTCTCGGCCTCCCAAAGTGCTGGGATTACAGGCTTGAGCCACCGCGCCCGGCCAGAGACTCCAGTTTTTAACCACATATCCACGTGGGCTCATTTCTAAGCCAGAGCTATATAAAGTAGCTCTGTAAAAAGGGGTGGAGGAGATCTAGCATACCTACTCATGTGGGGCCAAGATATCTTGTTAAATGAAACATTCACTACTGATGGGATAAAGGATCAGTATGTGGGGACCACATTAAGTGGGGTCTGGATCCCAGTTGGAGGAGACCTGAAACAAGGAAACCACATTAGGAAAGTAGAAGTTTCCTTACGATAAGAGGAGTAGCTCTGTAGCAAGAGTAGTTAGCAGAGGACACTGAAGGTTCTTCATGAAAGGTACCACATGAGGTAGGGTTAACTTTGGGAGACATGAGAAAGGCTTTATTATAAGGGAAACAGGTAGCACAGAGGACTGTCTTGACAAATTTAGAGAAAAGTGTTTTCTCTCCTGACTTCAGGGAAAGATTTTCTTGTTATATTTTGCTAAAGACAGATAGCTCTCTTATGAAGAAAATTCTTACAAGATAGCCTTGTGTTTTCTAGAATTCTTGTTGCTTAAATAATTACCTAATTATTACATCATTAAATCTAAGTCATTAATAATCAGGTAATTATTTTAAAAATTAAGTTAGTAGTTAAGCAAAATATAATTGCTTAAAATAACCACAAAGCTTTGCCTCCTCATATTATAACAAGCTTTCCTCTAATCATTTTATTTTCTTAAAAATAAAATCTGTCATTTGAATATTACCTTTTAAACAAAGACAAAGTAAATGCTTGCAAACATTTACAGAATAAAAAAGGAAATGCATTACCTCCTACATCAATAAAGTGTTTTGCAGCCAAGCCTGACCGTGGAGCTAAAAAACAAAAAAGGAGACACTGGTTATTTTAAGGGGGAAGGGCTATACCAGAGATAACTGATGCAATTTAAGCATGTCATTCTCTTCATCTATAATATCTACATCTTCATCTTAACTTTAGCACATGGTTTTGAATTAAAGAATATATATTCATCATACTACATTACCAAAGTTGGAAAGACTAGTTTAGGAAAATTCTACAAGGTTTTAATTCAAAACTAACTTAAACCACTCCCATGTGACTTCAGTTAGAATTTGTGGTGCTGCAGACAGGGGAGAAGGACTGCTAGAATGAGCTGAAAGGTGAGCAAACGGGAACGACTGTAGGCTGCTCTTTCAAGAAGTTAAGCGTCAAAGGGGAAGAAAGAGGAGTGTGGCCAGCAGCAACACTACTGAGGAAGAAGACTTTGGTTTTAAGATGGGAAACCACAACATGTACAATGTAGATGGGAAGGGAAAGGAAGGGGAAGGGAGATGGAAACAAACCTAACCAAATAGTAGCAGAGCATAGACTACAACTTGGGACCCCACTATTCATGATTCAGATGCCAAAAGGCATGTCTGTAGGAAACACATGAACCAGAGTAAGATAAACAGGCTAATATCAGTTAACTAAAAATGCCAAAAACTAAGTCTCAATGATTCAATACTAGTATACTTTTTAATCCTAAAAACTGAAAAAATAAAAAGCTATGGTTACACCTTATTATTGCAGACTCAAGCATCAGGCCTATAATTAATTATCCTAACTAGTATTTTATTTTATAATAATTTAAATCAGGTACTTTGTCAATAATGCTGCCTCTTTCTATACTAACCTTTATTTCACTCCATCTCCTGCCCCCTCCCCTGAAAAAACTCTAAAAAATGCAGTCAATGATACCCAAGAGATGAGATGAGAGGCCATCTTGTTATCTTTTAAGGGCTGAAGTACTGGCAGTTTCCCCACTCATGGCTCATAAGATAGTGCCAGTCTAACTCCTTTCCCTGGAGGAGGGCATCACAGCTCCATTGACTCCTTTATGTTTACTCTGGTTAGTCAAAAAGAACTTACGCTCTTGCAAAGAACTGTCTGGTAACAACTGATCCGCTCCAGAAAAATCAAACCTGTTGACTTGTACTCCATTTTGTCCTACCTCCTCCCAATGCCTCTACAACACTGAAGAGTATCCCTTACCCTAACCCCACGACCAAACAAGAAAAGGTTAAGTAGGCTTACACACTCTGGGACCAACAAGGTCCCAAGTTTTACTCTCCTAATATAAAATGCCATGTTCTGAGAACAGCCTTCTAGGCCAATGTGAGCCTAAAAGCTCCAGTGAGGAAAGAGAAAAACAAAAGGGTCAAAAAGAGGCAAAGCAAAGATGTAAATAAAGCCTTTCAAACAGTGCATTTGCTATCACAAATGGTGCTTCTTTTAGGACACAGCCCAAGCAATATTGCCTGCTTATTACCCCAAATGAAACATGAAGAACGTATCACAAAGGATAACTTGACAAATAGTTACCTGTTTCTTAAATGACTCACCTACTCTTCCATAACACCCAGAAGGGAGCGCTATCTGAATGTCCGTTTTCACAAGAGCTTTCTCCATAGGTGGTATTGTGTAATCATAGGCACTAAGAAAATATTGAAAGAAAATAACTGCAAATGTATTTATAAAATTGTTTTTATATTTTCTTTGTGACCAAGCATATAAAATTGCTTTCAATATATTTAATGAATTAATGAACTTTAGTTTCTAAAATCAACCTTGCTATGATGAATTCCCAATTCATCTTAAAAGTTTATGAAGAAGGTAGAGGTAGTTATTTTATTATTAAAATGACAGCTTTAGATAAAATAATTCTCCGTGAATATTTTTGGTGGTGTGAAGAGATGTCAACATTGTAAATCTTTGCCCCTGAACAAAAGTTTATTGGGAAACTGAGGTACTTATTAGCATGAAAGGGCAGAAAGGCAAACTTTCAAAAGGTGAATGCTTTACTACCATAGTTTGAAAAGGAAAAAAAATGAAGAAAGAACAAAGAAAAAAGGCCAAATATTACTAATAATACTAGCTATCACTGATTAAGCCTTTACTATGTGCCAGGCACAGTTCTAACTGGTTTACATATATTAACTCATTTTATTCTCACAATCATTTATGTGATTAGGGAATATCTGCAGAAGGAAAGGAGAAAATGGGTGGACAAAATAAGAGGGATAAAGAACTGTGTTGTATCTGTCAGGCGGGGCTTGGTGGTTTGCCAAGCTTAGGCGATGAATTTCCTGGCTGAGGGAGAGAGCTGATCACTGTGAACAGTCCCTGGAGATGGACCTTGTTTAGGAACAGAATTCCTCTAAGATCCACGTAGCAAATGCTGCTACTCTTGCTATTACTGTGGCCCTCTGCTGGGTGGAAATTTAAGAGATTTTACAATGAGCAGAACCAGAAGTTTACTTTGGAGAACTGCATTAAGTCTGGTAAAGCAGTACTATACTTCCCCTTCTTTCGCTGAAACCCCTCTTTAAATAGTTATGGCCTAATTTATTATAGATACATTATTTCCACGTCTATTTCAGTATACAGAAAGTCACCTGAATTTATTATGAGGCTACTTAAGGTATCTTAAATCAAGGACTCCCCTAGGACTCAAAAAAGTGCTCCCAAATATACTTCGGAAAGGTCTAGTCAAACTATATCACTCTTTTATTCATTAAAATTAAGAGACCGTAGTTTTTCCAGCTGCAATTGCCCATACCTACTTTCCTTTTCCTTTCTTTTCTGTTGCTATCATCATGCACTACTTTCTCTTCTCCTGTGCTTAGACCAATAGTTCTCATGTTTGAATTACCTGAGAAACTTTAAAATAAATCCCAATGCTTGGGATTTAGTATAAACTCTCCTTCCCTCTCAGCATTACTTTTCTCCTACCTTAATGGCTCTAAGAACTGGCACAGTAGTCAAAAGAAAAAAAAAAAAAAAAGCCCAAAATTCGGGATAAAAAATGGTATCATCTTCAAGTCTCTGGGGAAATCAATTCAGCTCTTCACAAACTCCTGCCTGCGTAAAAAGTAACACTTACCTAGTTAAGGATTGTTGTGAGGACTAAATACAACAGCATAAGGAAAGTTTTTAGTACAGGTAAAACGTGCTGTAGAGATGAAGTGTGGTAGTATTACAGGCAGCTCTGCCTTTCGTATTCGGATGCCTTCTGAAATTCCGCCCTGGGGCCAGATGAATGTATAGAAAATAACTTTTTAAGGCAGATGCATCTCTGTTCATCCTTCTTAGGTGTTTTCACGCTCACATCTAGGCTCTCACCTTGGCTTTTCTATTGAGCACAGCATCACCCTCAGGCCACTCGAAAGCCACCATGTGCCTTCCTCTCTATCTTCTATTTAGGAAGGGCACAATAAACGTTGCAAAGTAACGCCTTGCTAGACGCCGTATAGTTATTTTACTTATTCTGCAGTCTTTGCCCAAATCTCTATTTAGTTTATGCCACAGATGAAAGCTAAAATTTTCAATATGAAAAAGGCAGAAATCCTATTTATAGCTAGTGTGTTCCTGTGATCTCTTCGATGACTGTTTCTAGCTGTGGCAGCGGATGGCCGGCCCTTCCCAGCCTCCTCGCCGGGAGGTCCCCGCTCACCTGTACAGGTCGTAGCCCGCGGCCCGGGCAGAGCCCCGCGTGGGGGCCGTGGCGTGCTCGGAGAGCCGGGCAAAGCGGAGCTGCATGCCGCCCTCCTCTGCAGGCCGGGGCCGCTTACTGGGTGAAATGGCGGGTGTCTCTTCAGAGCAGGGCATGGCAAAGCCAGAGGGCGAGCGAGGAGAACACCCGAGGAACAAGAGAGCGCACGATGAGTTGCGCCGCAGGGAACCCGCCGAAATCGAAATTTCCCGCCAGCTCCGCCCCACCCACCGCCCCCTCCGGGACGAGTCCACAGTTCTGGACGAGAGGGGAGGCGGGATTCACATTTTGGGTTAGAAGCCCTTCTCGGAAAGCAGGTTTGGGATCGGAAACTACTGGGTCCCAGTCATCCATCCACATTCAGCGCGTAAGGCCGACGACAGCTTTTGGGGCGTCGCCCTCACACACTAGAAAGCCGCCCCCCCGCCAGGGACCCTAATAGACTCCCCCCGCGCGCACAGGGGCCGCCCGCCGGGCTACTTCCCCCACCGCCTCAAGCCGCGGGGCTTCCTTCCGGACGGCCGGGGCCCTTTGCCCGCCGCTCTCCTACCCTGCCCGGGCGCCGGGCATCCCCCCGGCTTAGGAAGCTCGCCCTTCCAGCCCGCGGCCCCGGCTGTACTGGCTCCGCGACAGCCTCGGCTCAGACTGCCAGCGCTGGACAGCGGCCAGGGCGTCCCGTGCTGCGCTGCGAGGCCGAGGGGCGGGCCTGGCCCGGAGAGTCCCGCGGCCTCGGCCCTCTGCCGTGCGCCTCGCGCGTTTTGCATCGCTGAGCGAAGCAGAGACGAAAGGAAATGGTAGCAGAGCGCGGGGCGAGGGCAGAGGAGAGTCATTTCCCCCAGAGTCTGGGCTGGTTGGCTTCTCGGCACCTCCGGACGTGCGCCAGGCTTCCACCCTGAAGACGCGCGCGTCCCGGAAACATGACCTCGGAAGCAGTCGCCGCCGTGCGAGGGGCGTGGAGAGGCGGCGCAGGCCCTGGGGCACCGGGAAGACGGTGCCCTTGGCGTCCTGAGTCTTGCTGCCGCCTCCGGGTGCCTACGCCTCTTGCCCTCGCTCTTCTTGTTTGCTCGGGCCCCCATTTTTCCGAGAGTTCACCATGCCCGGGCCCTGCTCCTGGGCTGACTTACCTGCGGCGTCACCGCCAGTGGCCATGACTCCCGGGCTCTGAGTTCAGCGGCGCCCTAAGCGCCGGAACCACATGTGGGTGCCGGTGACAGTTACTGCACCCGGTGCCGCTCACCAGACTGGGCAAGACACCGCGCCCGATTTCCTTTCAGCACCGAGTGCCAGACGTTGTAGTTTATTCGACCGGAGGCAGGGAGGGCGGTAGTATTCTATCAGGTTTGGGATAACCTAACAGAAACGCAGCGGGAACGCCTTGGCTAGGAGTCGAACAAGGATCCCGGGCCACAGTGGTATAGTTTACAGTGGGGGATAAAGCAGTCGCTTTCTAGATAGTTGTTTTTCTTTTTCTGAGCTGCAAGTATCTCGTTATTTCTCACACAAATCTGAGAGCTGAATTGAATGGTTTTGAATTTTCAAAGTTAAGCTGTGGGACAGTTTTAGATAAATGACAAGTAGAAGTGTTATTAGAGTATTATTGGGGAAGTTTTACAGTCGTTGCTGTGCCTTTTCATACAGGCCCCACCTTTTCGGTCTCCTTAACTGGGTCCTCTTTGTTGTTGAAAGTCCTTTGCATGAGGCTATGGAATATACACTACCTTCTCTGGACGTTAAATATTAGCTACACCTTGAGAACTCCCAGATTTATTCCTATAGCAACACGATCCGAGCCCTGCAACTTTTCGACCTCATTTTGAGCCAACATTATTTTACTCCCTTATTTTGCTGGAGTACTTTCTTCAGTTATTTACTTAAAGTGTTCACATGAGAGACATATTTGATTCCTTGCTCACAAATGACTGCCTCATTGGACTAAAGGCTCAAAGAGATCAGAATGCTTAAGCCACAAACTCACAACTATAGTTCTGCCTAATACACTGAATACCCAATCTCTCTTAACAAGCATAATCACCATGAAAAGCATACTCTGAATTACGCCAGTGGCGTAGAAGCACCGGGAGACAAAAGTTCTGTAATTACAGTCCAGAGAAAGGCTTGTTATTTCATTTTAAAGCATCTTTGAGTTTTATGAAGTGAAGAAATAAAAACAGGCCGGACGTGGTGGCTCATGCCTGTAATCCCAGTATTTTGGGAGGCTGAGACTGGCAGATCACTTGAGGTTAAGAGTTTGAGACCAGCCTGGCCAACATGGTAAAACCCCGTCTCTACTAAAAATACAAAAATTACCCAGGTGTGGTAGTGCATGCCTGCAATCCCGGTTACTTGGGAGGCTGAGGCAGGAGAATCACTTGAATCAAGGAGTTGGAGGTTGCAGTGAGCCAGCCTGGATCACACAATTGCCCTGCAGCCTGGGCGACAGAGCAAAACTTCCATCTCAGAAAAAAGAAAAAGAATTACCTTTTATAAGCAGATGGCTTAAGTGCCAGGGTACACAGGAGAGTCATCAGAAGAGCTAGGGTAAATGCACATGTCCAAGCCCCATCACCAACTGACTACGCAAAATCTCCAGGGTGATTCTGTTGCCCACCCCTGGTAAAAGACAGCTGCTCTAGGGGATTTATTTCTAGAGAATCTGCAGGGGTCAGGACATCCTGAAAAGAGTTATGTCACGTTTAACCAATATTACCAGCTTTACCAAGTATACTATACTGTGGACTGTTTTAATAAAGGCTCCGTTACCTTAAATACAGGAGCAGAGCCAGGGCCTTTGTTCTTGGCAATACATCTGTGGTACAGTTGTATTAAGAGTAATTGCATGGCTGGCCCGAAGGTAGTGAGTTATCTCAACTGATTTTTCACAGTCAGGAGTTTGATCTGAAACCCCTTGTTCTACTTTCTCCCCTTCTCACTACTATGCTTGACTAGTCTTAAAGAAAAATAATTTTAGAAAGAATAACTGCAGACCATGCAGCATTCAGAGTATTTGCTTATTTCTTAGTTATGCTGAAACTATTAAATAAACAAGTCCCTAAAGATGTCCCAATAGTTAAACAGGACTGCAAGGCTGAAACACTGTAGAATGTAAAGTGAAATTTTAATATAAATTTTAATGTAAGAAATATATTTGCCGGTTTTAATTGTGCAAGATTAACTAAGGGGAAAAGAATTAGGGGAGGGGAATCATATGGACTAAACTGGAAAGCTCTTCAAAAACTAAATCAGCTCTAAGCTCCCACTGTCTCTTCTGGCTTTTATGATCTCTTCATATTGTGTCTCCTCTCTCATCTTTGTAGGGCATCCAATTGGACTGGAAAATTAACCATATAATGCAGACCATCTTTATACCTCGTTCAGACATTAATTGTTTGGCTCCATCTGGCTAGAGTAGCAGAACTGGTTTCACTCCACCACACAGACTATTTTCATAGTAGTGGTAAAGCAGTGTAACAGGCAAACATTGAGATTTTGTAAGCTGCCTAGTGTATTTCGATTGTTAAATATGTTTGGTGATGAAAACCCTGGAAACTTCTATTGACCAATCAGTCTGCCCAAGGAATCTTTTCAGTTCATCTTCAGTAATATTCATTAGCCTTTCAGCCTGATCTTTGGCTCATAAATTTCAAGGTATGATGATGGAAGCTCAAGCAATGTTCCTGTGTGTAATTATATTAAACCAAACAAAGGTAAATATGGACTCAATGTCAGAAACAAGTAACGTCTGGAAATCTATGTTATAACTAAGGGGCACTAAGTTGCAATTATTGCATCAGAGATTTGGGAACTAGGAACATTTTAACCCATTTTGTGAAAGCTCAGGAATCAAGATATTCTTCCTTTGAAATACTTATACATGTCTTAGTTATGTCTTAGCTTGGGCTGCCGTAACTAAATACCATAGACTGAGTTAAACAACAGAAATTAATTTTCACACAGTTCTGGAGGCCCAGGTCAGGGTGCCATCATCGTGGTGTTCTGCTAAGGGCTCTCTTGTGGCTTGCAGAGACCACCTTCTCTCTGTGTCCTCATGTGGTCTTTCCTTGTATTAAGACCCCACCCTTATGACTTAATTTAAACTTGATTACCTCCCCAAGGCCGCATCTCAAATACCATCACACCAGGGGTTAGAACTTTAACATTAAATTTGGGAGGGTGGGGTGCATTCAGTCCATAACAGGAATCAAGATATTTTTCCTGTAAAATGCTGTCACAAAATTAATGTGTATTCTTGATCACATGCCTTAATTATTTCTTAATGTAACACACATTTCTTTGCAATATTTTCATTTGGGAATACATTTCAGATCACCAAACATTTCTGTATCATGGGGCTTCTTTAAAGGGCTTGAAAACTTTTCAGGAGAGCAACAAATACCCCTCTCCCCCATATTTTTGACTCAGGAGAGGTGAGGAGGGTAGCAGGGGAAAGCTAGGATCCTTAGTCAGATTTCTCTGCCATATTCTTTCTTTCTGCTGTTTCCTGTCTTTTCTTGTTGGTTATAGACCTTCTCTTCTTTACAAACTTGCTCGATCTCACCCTCCCATATTCTGAGCAATAAAGGGTAAGTAAAGAAAAAACCCTGGATTACTAAGAAGGGCATTTCAAAAGTGTTATCCCGACTGTGTGTGGAATTACATGCCTGTAATTCCAACATTTTGGGAGGCCAAGGTGAGAGAATTGCTTGAGCTTGGGAGTGTGAGACCAGCAACACAGTGAGACCTTGTCTCCACACACACACACCAAAAAAACAACAAAAAACAACAAAAACAAAAAACCTAACAAATTAGCTGGACGTTGTGGCACATGTTTGTAGTCTCAGCTACTTGGTAGACTGAAGTGGACGGATTGCTTGAGCTTGGCAAGTCGAGACTGCAGTGAGCAGTGCTCGCACCACCTGCACTCCAGCCTGGTCCACAGAGTGAGATTCTGCCTCAAAAACAAAAGTATTATCCCTTTTACTTTTAATCAATATGTTAATGCAAATTATTCATAAAATGCTACATGAAATGTGGCCAAGACAATCTAATGAATTGGCAAATTCTTTTGGAATAACGATGTGATTGCCTCCATGCCTTCATTGTATTCACGTATTCCTTGAAGTTAAATATAAGTTCTGTAGGATGCTAATGGAAGTTTCACACTGACAAAAGTTTGGGACATACCCTTTGGTAATAATGGCTTAACTAGTTAAAGTGATTTCTGTATTGCAGGACTTCTCAGAGTCTTTAATGACCATTGTGAATTTCCAAGCTGGTGCTATGTGCTCTGGAAGCATTTCCCAAACATCTGACCATAAAACCATTTTTTGTAAAGGATATATTAGCAGTCTTTTGCTGGTAAGTCATAGAAACTAACCTGAGCTAACTGTATCAACAAATAATATTTATTTGGAAGAACAATAAGTTCAATTCAACCTGTTGAATTGAACTACCAAGCCCCAGGAAGAACAGGCAGCTATTGGAAACTTTGTGATTAAATTTTTTAGCATTTAACCTTGATCTTTGTTTGCAGTCAAATTTGACATCCAGTTTTACTTTTTCTTTCCATTTTTGTTTTTGATCTACATTGTGATCCTTTCAGTTATTACAAACCTTCATTAAAGCATGTTGCGTACAAGGTTAGTGGCATTTTAGGCTAAGAAGGGATAAAGTGGAGAATGGGAGTATTCTCTCCAAGGATCACACTTCCTTTGATTTTAACCTGATGATGACAACATTATGCTAAAGGAAATCCTAGAATCCCCTCAGTAATCAACAGAAGTGATCAGAGGCCCCATCTGAGTGAGGATTTGGAGACCTCGGGGGACTAAACGGGGGTGGTTCTGAGAAGAAACTAGGCAACAGTGTAGAATTAGACCTTAAAACAAATTGACTCTCAAATAAGCTGGAGGAAAGTGACTCATGAGATAGGAGAGGCATTCCCTTGGGATACACAGTGACTCCTTATAGCTCTGTGAGTTGAGCATCCCTAATCTGAAAATCCAAAATGCTCCAAAATCTTACACTTTTTGAGCAGCAAATGACACCACAAGTGGAAAATTCCACACCTGACCTCATGTGACTGGTTGCAGTCAAGACTTAGACACAAAACACACTGTTTATTCACCATTACCAAGGGGTTACAGTGTACAATAACTTTTCAATCAAAACACAGAATTGTAGGTGGAAACTGAGAGCCTGCCATTGTTTGTGGTAGCTGTTGTTTAATGGATGATACAGGTGTTCTGGTGCTGCTATTGTGCCACTTAGTTACCCTGAACGCATTTTTTTCATTGTATTAGTGGCATGTCATATTTTTTACTAAGTACTTATATGTGAATAAATATAAGAAAATGATTGCTTATTGGTTGCCTATCAATTCAAAGTCAGGAATGATGGTGATGCCAAACAACAGGTGACTGTCCACATGGGTGGCTGAGATAGTGACACCTTTGCTTTCTTGATGGTTAAATGTGTATCAACTTCATATATGCACAAACCTTGCTTCATACACAAATTATTCAATATACTGTATAAAATTAACTTCAGACTATGTGTATAAGGTGTATATGAAACATAGGTGAGTTTTACCTTCAGACATGAGTCTCATCCCCAACATAACTCATTTTGTATATGCAGATATTCCAAAATCTGAAAAAATTCAAAATCTGAAACACTTTTGGTCTCAAGCATTTCAGTTAAGGGATGCTTAACCTGTAAATGCTCCCTGGAGTGGAAGAGGTAGACTTTACTTGGCAGGGAGGGAATAGGGAAGTTGGGTTGACTTCTGGGTGTAAAAAGGCCTGGAGGTGGCTGGGCACAGTAGCTCACGCCTGTAATCCCAGCACTTTGGGAGGCCGAGGTGGGCGGATCACGAGGTCAGGAGATCGAGACCATCCTGGCTAACATGATGAAACCCCGTCTCTATTAAAAATACAAAAAATTAGCCAGGCGTGGCAGTGTGCGCCTGTAGTTCCAGCTGCTGGGGAGGCTGAGGCAGGAGAAATGGTGTGAACCCGGGAGGCGGAGCTTGCAGTGAGTGAGCCGAGATCGTGCCACTGCACTCCAGCCTGGGCGACAGAGGGGGACTCTGTCTCAAAAGAAAAAAAAAAAAAAAGGC